AAATCCCTAATCATTTTTTACAATTCACATCAAGAATCTGCTCCCCTGGAAAGGCTTTCCTGACTTTTTCCAGTGGAATGACGGCCATTTCTCAACTTTTCGCCACCAAATTGTCTCGTGCGTATCATTTTCAAAGCTCTTGTGGCTGGTTTGTATTTTTTAGATTACATTCCTGTCTCCCTCAACTAATTTACAGACATCTTGATAGTAAGAACCTCTTACTAAATTTTGTGTTCTCAGCAGAGGGTAAGTATGAAGTTCCTGGCACATAGAAAAATGTAAAGTAAATGCATTACACATGGCTAAAGACACAAAGATAAGGAATTAATTTTAAAAACCACATCATAGGAAGATAAATTCTGTGAACTTATAATGGTTGATTTTTTTTTTTTTATCAACGTAAATACTTTGTGATGCAAAGTTTTTGTGGGTGAATGCATGTCTGTGTGTAATGTTTCCACTTAATCCTTGGGCAAGTTAATTAACCCTTGTAAACTTTAGTTTCCTTCTTTCTAAAACTCTGTATAGAGGGATTAATTATATTGCCTGCTTCTTAGGATTGCTGGAAGGTTAAATCAACTGATGCTATATTTAGGGCATTTAGCAAGGTGGCCATACTAGTTTCTTATAGTTCTTGTAACAAATTACTCAAATTACCCAAACTTGGCAGCTTAAAAACAGCATGAACTTTCTATCTTAGAGTTCTGCAGGTCAGATGTCCGAAGTAAGTCTCATAGGTATAAAATTAAGATATTTTCCCTGGATGTTCTTGGGGACTATCTATTTCTTTGTCTTTTCTAGTTTCTAGCAGGGATGTCCAACCTGCAGCCCACGGGCTGTATACTGATTTTGTGAGGACATTTTTGCTTATATTTGGTGTCAGATATCATGGAAAGTAGGCCCAGACCTTTTCTTTGCTAAGCGGCTTTTGTTGGTGTTTGTGTATTTATTGTGTGGCCCACGGCAATCCCTACTCTTCCAACATATGGCAGAGAAGAAAAGGTTGGGCACCTTTGTGCAGCAGCTTCCTGCATTCCTTGGCCTGTGGCTCCTCCATATTTAAATCAAGCAATGTCCCATTGAATCTTCCTCAGGCTTGATGACTCTGACACACATACTCTCTCACCTCCCACTTTTGCTCATAAATACCTTTGTGATTACATTGGGCTCACCTAAATGATCCAACATCATCTCCCCATTTCAAGATCCTCACTTTAGAAGCCCCCACACTATCCTTTTGCCTTGCCAGGCAGGTACAGTAACATAGTAGCATGTTCTGGGCACTAAGAGTTGGGCTTTTCTGGGGGATTATTGTTTGTTTCGCTTGTGCCTGCCCAACATCCCCTTTATAAGGAATTGGTAAATTTTGGTTATTATTAGAATTGCAGATTATGTCTTAAACATTATTAAATCATTTTCTTGTTATAGAACTGAAACACTTTGGAGCCATGCCACCTGGGCACAGTGCAGCCTTCTACTAATAATTCAGCATGACAGAGCCACAATTTCCTTACTCGAAAAGTGGGTTCAATGATTAGCTTCTGAAAATTAGCCATTTTGTGATGCTAGCATGCACTCACGGGTAAAAGGAAATTGGTGTTTATCTGAAACTACCTGAGTAGCCCCAAAGAAGACAATTTTCTTAACATGACCATTATTGTGTCGTGATGACTGAGAGTGATGGAGAACTTACTACGCCAAGAGTCACTCCGCGTGTTATGTGTGCGTTGACCAACCTGATCCTAATGGCCAGCCCCACGGGGAGGGACTTTTATTTTCCTTCTTTTATGGCAGTTGAGAATTTGCCCAAAGTTCCAGGAGTAAGAAGTGGTAGAGATGGGATGTGAATCCAGGTGGTCAGGCTGTGGAACCACAGCACTGTAAAAACAGAGATGTGGAAAAAGACAGGGCACATTAGAGGACAGACACTCTGTGACGGGCTAATAGTTCTTAGCATACTTAGAGCTCGTCATGGTGCAGGTCGAGGATTTAGTCTTACTGAATTCTAATTCTTGCGCTTTTGAAAACATGCACAGTAGACAACCAAATGTGTTGGGAGTTGGTCTATTTCCAGAGATACTTGAAAACAAAGTGTCCAGTGAGCTCAGGCTTTTAAAGATACGTTTTTTAGGTTTTCCCTGTCTATCTTGCCTCTCTCTTTCTCTCTCTTCTCCCTTCCCAGCCTCACAAGTACACTCCAAACACATTAGCTTCAGTAAATGTCATATATTGTCTTTCTCCATA